CAAAACTTTCTGAGTGTTGACATAACATGCAAAGGAAATGCTCACTGAAGCATTTTGGATTTCAGATTTGGGATGCTTAGTGAGTCAATATATACAATACAAATGCAGGTATACCTCACAGATATTGTGAATACGGTTCCAGATCAACACAATAAAGTCAATATAGCAATAAAGTTAATCACACCAATCATTTGGTTTCCCAGTGCATATAAAAGTTATGTTGATGTTATACTGTAGTCTATTAAGTATTCTATAGCATTATGTCTAAAAAAACAGTGCACATACCCTAATTTAAAAATACTTTTAAGAGTCCTTCCTTTCATGAAAGATTTCTCCATAACATGCAATGCTATCTGATAGCATTCTATCCACAGAACTTCTTTCAAAATCAGGGTAAATCTTCTCAAATCCTGCTACTGCTTTATCAACCAAGTTGATGTAATACTAAAAGTCCTTTGTTACCATTTCAACAATGATCACTGCATGTTCATCAAGATTAGAGTCTATCTCAAAAAACCATTTTCTTTACTCATCCATAGGATGCAACTCCTTACCCATTCATGTTTTATCATGAGATTGTAACAGCTCAGCTACATTATCAGGCTCCACTTCTAATTCTAGTTCTCTTGCTATTTCCATTACATCTACAGTTACTTCCTCCATTAAAGTCTTGAATCCTTTAAAGTCATCCATGAAGGTTAGAATCAGCTTCTTTCAAAGGCCTGTCAATGCTGATATTTTTACATCCTCTCATAAACAAATGTTCTTTATGTCATCTAGAGTTGTGAATCCTTTCCAAAAAGTTTTCAATTTACTTTCCCCACATCCATTAGAAGAATCACGATCTATGGCAGCTACAACCTTAAAAATTGTATTTCTTAAATAATAAAACCTGAAAGTTGAAATGACTCCTTGGTTCCACGGGCTACAGAATGGATATTATATTAGCAAGCATAAAAATAATATTATTTTCTTTGTACATCTCCATCAAATCTCTTGGGTGACCAGGTTCGTTGTCAATAAGTAGTAATATTTAGAAATAAATCTTTTTTTTAAGCAGTAAGTCTAAACAGTGAACTCAAAATATTCAGTAAACCATGCTGTAACAATTAGTTATATGCTGTCATCCAGACTTTGTTGTTCCATTTTTAGAGCACAGGCAGAATAGATTTAGCATCATTCTTAAAGGCCTTAGGATTTTCAGAATGGTAAATGAACCCTGGCTTCAACTTAAAATTACCTGCTGCATTAGCTCCTAACAAAAGTCAGCTTGTCCTTTTAAGCTTTAAAGTCAGGTTCTGACTTCTCCCTTGCTATGAAAGGTTTAGATGACATCTTCTTCTGATAGAAAGCGGTTTCATTTACACTGAAAATGTGTTGTTTAGTGGAGCTACCTTCATCAATTACCTTAGCTAGATCTTCTGAATAACTTGCTGCAGCTTGTACATCAGCATCTGCTGCTTCACCCTGCAATTTTATGTTATGGAGACGACTCCTTTCCTTAAACCTCAAAAATAGACCTCTGCTGACTTCAAACCTTTCTTCTGCAGCTCTCTCCCCCCTCTCAGCCTTTACAGAATTAAAGAGAGTTAGGGCATTGCTCTGGATTAGGTTTTGGCTTAAGGGAAAGCTGTGGCTGATTTGATCTTCTATCCAGACCACTACAACCTTACCTCTATCTAGATAATGAGGCAGTTTTGCTTTCTTATCATTCATGTGTTCACTGGAGTAGCACATTTTATTTCCTTTAAAAACTTTTCCTTTGCATTCTTATCTTAGGCAAAAGGTTTGGTTCAAGAGGCCTACCTTTTGGCTTTCAACATACCTTCCCCACTAAGCTTATTGACTTCGAACTTTTGATTTAAAGTGAGAGATGTACACACTCTTCCCTTCCCTTGAAGCCACTGTAGGGGTATTAACTGGTCTAATTTCAATACTATTGTTTCTTAGGAAATACGAAGGCCTAAGAAGGAAAGAGACAGGGGAGCGGCCAGTAGGTGGAGCAGACAGAACACACACATTTCCCCGACTAAGTTCACCATCTTACATGGGGGCTGTTCATGCTGCCCCAAAATAATTACAAGAGTAAAATCAAAGAACACTAATCACAGATCACTAAAGAGAAATAATAATGAAAGAGTCTGAAACATTCCAAGAATTACTAAAATTTAACAGACATAACGCGAGCATATGATGCCAGAAAAATGATGCCAGAAAAATGGCACAGATAAACTTTCTCGATATAGGGATCTTTAATTTGTTAGTGGCTCAGTCTGTAATCCCGTGCCTTGGGAGACTGAGGTGAGTGGATTGCCTGAGCCCGTGGGTTCGAGACTCGCCTGAGCAACTTGACAAGACCTCACCTCTACAATAAATCAAAAAATTATCCAGGCGTGGTAGCACGTGCCTGTAGTTCCAGCTACTCAGAAGGTTGAGGCAGAAGGATCGCCGGAGCACAGCAGGTCGAGGCTGCGGGGGCCGGGAGCAGCCACTGCACTCTAGTCTGGGCAACAGAGTAAGACTCCAACTCAAAAAAAAACAAGCCAGGCTCGGTGGCTCAGCCTGTAATCCCACGCTTTGGGAGGCCAAGGTGAGTGAACTGCCTGAGCCCGAGGGTTCGAGACTCGCCTGGGCAACTTGGCGAGACCTCATCTCTACAATAAGTCAAAAAATTAGCCAGGCGTGGCAGCGCGCGCCTATAATTCCAGCTACTTGGAAGGCTGAGGCGGAAGGATCACTGGAACCCAGCATGTCGAGGCTGCAGTGGCCAGGAGCAGCCACTGCACTCCAGTCTGGGCGACAGAGTGAGACTCCAACTCAAAAATACCCCAAACAAACAAATAAACAAACAAAAACACACAAAAAAACCCTCTCAGTACCTGCAAAGTACAATAAATCGAAGCACAATAAAACAAAGTACACCTGTATTCAAAAACCCAGAAAAATCCCAAATCCAAAACATTTCTAGTCCCAAGCCTTTCAGATAAGTAATACTACTCAACCTGTATTGCCTATCCCACAATCAGGAAGCTGCATAGTAAACTTGAAGCATTGCAAACACACAAAAACCCAAATCACAACCAGAATTCTACCAGTAGAAACAGTAAAACTAGGAAAAGAACAAACTCTAATTTACTTCTGCCTTCCAAATCTCACATGAGTATATTTGTGGCATTAATAAAGTAACATTAAGAACTTTAGCTGGCAACCCCCTAGGTTCCACTCCGCTGTGGGAGCTTTTCTCAATAAAACCTGCTTTCTCACTTAAAAAAAAAAAAAAAAAGAATGTTAGCTGCAAAGAAATCTGAGATACTTATTTACTTGTGAGTTCTAAAGTTTCTATATATTAATAGCTGGAAGGATGAATGATATTGACCTCCCTTGGTAATGTAATGTAAAATTGTGGTTTCCACATCAACAGGCATTCTATCACAGGAGCATATATGATGCAACTAAAGGAATTAAGGGAATGAAGGTGCTCAGAAGATATAAAGAAATTAGGATCTAAAGATGTAAGATGGGAGTGGGTAGAGAAAGAGAAGAGCAGATAGGACTGAATTAATAAACTATAATGTGTAAGGAACAGTATCACCAAAGACTTAAGAGTCACTAATTCCTTAACTTTTATTTTTAAATACTGAATTATGAATAGATTATAAGGAAGAATAAATATGCTGTTATATATCAATAACAATAAAACTAAAATATTGAAATGGAAAATCATGAAGAACAATTCTTATTTTTAAAAAATTAACAAGGCTTGACAAATCAGATATGGTAGGTGGCCAGACCAGTTCTAAACTTTTTTAAACTCACTGCAATATTAATACAAGTAATTTAACTAATTCTAATTCTAAATTAACAAGTAGGCCAGGCATGGTGGCTCACACCTGTAATCCCAGCACTTTGGGTGGCTGAGGCAGAAGGATTGCTTGAGTCCAGGAGTTTAAGACCAGCTTAGGCAACAAAACAAGACCTCTGCTCTACAAAAAATAAAAAAAATTAGCCAGGCATGGTGGCGCACACCTGTAGTCCCAACTACTTGGGAGACTGAGGCGGAAGGATTGCCTGAGCCCAAGAGGTAGAGTCATTATCATGCCACTGCACTCCAGCCTGAGTGACAGAATGAGACCCTACCTCAAAAAAATTAATTAACATCCAGTCTTTCAAACATTAAGCATCCTTCAAATGTCTATATGAAAGACCTTTTCAAACTTAAAAATAAAACATTTTAAATATTAGAAAAAGGCTTTAGACAACAGACTTTTATTCTGAAAAGTTTGCTATTCGGTTACATGAAGACAAAGACTCATCTTCACCTCTAAAGTCACTAAAATTTAAAAAACAAAGGTTAGTACACTTTCATTTGTTCAAAAAAACCAAAGAAACAGACTTAACAGATGCTATATGCCTTGTCTGCTTCCCTTTCCCAAATATACAGAAAGCTATACTTTCCGGTCCCAAACAGTGGCAGTTTGCTGGCACTGTGTGACTCATCCTCCTGATCCATAAAATAAAAAACATGAGTATAAGTAATACAAGTCACTTCTGGGCAAAAACAGATAAAAGTACTGCCTGTGGGTCCTTGTATTTCTTTCTTCCTCAGTGATACTGGAAATCATGCATACAGATGGTGGCATGACAAGGGAGACTGGATCACAGAGTCACCAGACAGAAAAGAGCTCCTACAAATGAACTATAAAACTCTATTAATTTGAAAAGTTTCTGTTAGGTTAAGCCACTGACATTTGGGAGTTAGTTTATTCCTAACTATAGCATAGTACCGATATTAATAATAAAGAAGTCTGTAAAAATATTTCCCTACTCTAGTAACTTACAAAGACTCTATGCCAAATTCACTATCCATTTTAAACAGTTAAGGACTAATTTTGCTATATGAATAAGTAAATACATATTACAGAGGTGTTTAATATACATACATATATAGAGAGAAATGTATGAATACGAGAAACTCTTGATAACAAGAATATTCAACTTACAGTGTGAGCACATTTCCAAAGGATAACTTGCCTCATTTCCCTGGGAGAGGAAAAAAAAGAAATTAGTCATAAAATAGGCACAAATTTATTTAAAATATTAAACCTAAAATATTTTAAGTAAAAAAACATGGGAAACATGCTATAAACTAGTATGTCTAAATCTAGAAACTACACTTATTTTTTTAAAAGGTAAGAAAACAAATTATATGACCAAAAAAAGCTGTTAAACAAGTCTGACTTATGGTTCTGCCACTTAGGACTTACGTAAACATTTAATTAAAATACATTTTTAATATTTTTAATACTCTAACCATGTTATATGCCAAATTTTAACACATTGAAGACTGTTAATTCTAACTAGTCTTGCTGGGTGAATCATGTTGGGGTAGAGCTTAAAACAAAATTTCCCTTGCCAATTTTATTTAACTAAAGTTTCCGTAGACTGCAAAAGGAGCTGTTAAGAAAAACAAAAAAAAACCTGTTATCATTTTTACCGGCACTGAAACAGAATGCCCTATATGCTATGCAATAAAAATAAGAAAAATACTAATGAAAAAGCCTAATATAAGATGGCCAGTCATTTAAAACCCATTTCAAATTTTTCTTTTCAAGACAAATTGTATCTCATGAATAGAATCTAAATTAGTATCATTTATCTAAACTCCCAATTTATAAAAAATAAAATCAACTACGTTTTCTATATTATGATTCTATGTGAAACGTATTTAAGGAAAAAGGCGTTCTAGAGAAACTAAAGACTTGGTCCAATGCCTACATTTACCAACTCTGAAGACTGACCCAGGGAGATCAAATATCTAGTGGAAGATCATATCACATGATTAACAGAAATCAAAAGAATTCCTAAGTCTAAAACAGTAAAAACTCCAAGTATGACAGACTCACAGAGGTAGAATTATTAAGACCCTTTAAAAGATCTACAGAAAGTGGCCAGGCTTGGTGTTTCAGCCTGTAATTCCAGCACTTTGGGTGGCCAAAGCAAGTGGATTGCCTGAGCCCGTGGGTTCAAGGCCAGCCCGGGCAACATGGCAAGACCTCGTCTCTACAATAAAAATAAAAAATTAGCTGGGCATGGTAGTATGCGCCTGTAGATCCAGCTACTTGGAAGGCTGAGGCAGAAGGATCGCTAGAGCCTAGCAGGTCAATGCTGGGGTGGCCATGAGCGTGCCACGGCACTCCAGGCTGGATGACGGAGTGAGATTCCAACTCAAAAAAAAAAAAAAGATCTATAGAAAGTAATATGTTTCTAAGGTTCAGTGGTAAACTGAGTACAAGCACCCTATATTCCATTTATCTAACTTTGACCCTGCCTAACAATTAAATGTACAATTGCTACAAGTGTACAAGTACAATTAACAGAATATTTAAATATGTATCTTAAGAAGCTCAAATATATATCTTAAAACAAACCCCCCCAAATTTTAGTATGTCTGGCTGGCTTCTAAACTCCTAAAAATATCTTTAGTACTATGTAAATTTAAAGTCTAAGCCAGGCTCGGTGGCTCAGCCTGTAATCCCGTGCTTTGGGAGGCTGAGGTGAGTGGAATGCCTGAGCCCGCGGGTTCGTGACTCGCCTGGGCAGCGAGACCCCATCTCTACAATAAATCAAAAATCAGTCGGGCGTGGTACCGTGCGCCTGTAATTCCGGCTACTCGGAAGGCTGAGGTGGAAGGATCGCCAGAGCCCAGTGGGTCGAGGATGCGGTGGCCAGGAGCGGCCACTGCACTCCAGTCTGGGTGACGGAGTGAAACTCCAACTCAAAAAAATAAAAAAATAAAGTCTAATCAGTAAATCAGCAAATCAACATCTTCAATTCTTGACATATTGCCAATAACTAGTCTTCTCCTTGCAAGTTATAGCAGATAACAGAAATTTTCCAGAACTAGTCAATTTAACGTTAGGCTACTTTAATATCAAATACATATTAGAGTGAGTATAAAAGAAAAGTAAACATTAATAAAGCTTGGCATTAAGGAGCAAAGATGAGCTTCTACTTACTTTGCACTTTACTTAATTGATCTTAATATTCTGACCACTGACCATGATTCCTATCTTTACTACCTCACTTATTCTTGTATACTTCGATTTTTAAAATGCCTCACCCCACTCCATTCTAACTTTGAGTTAAGTATGTTTCTGCAGGACGCTCAAAAATACCCTGGTATTTTATTTACTAAATTTTGCATTGTCGTTGTCTTTTTTTTTTTAAGCTGGGTACTGTTACTGTCTTAAAAGTGAAAATGAAAGGGTTATGTGGTAGTTTCAGGTGGGATTTTAAAACCTAGTCCCTGTTTCTCCAGCCCACTAACCTTTACAGTGTGTTCAACTCTTTATAAATGATACCATCTACCTCTCCTATTTATCTCTATCCCTCCCAACTAGACAACATCCACGAGATCCAAGGACCAACTAAGCCAGCACTTCTAACGGCTTTTCCATGGATAAGGAATACCTCATCTTTCTCCTAAACTTGGAACTCATATATCTAAATAGTTACTGCAACCTCAACTTGTCCAAACTTGGCCACATCACATCCCTGCTCAAACTCAATAGCTCCCTGCTGACTTCAGGATAAAAATAAACACTTTTAAGAAAGTCTTTTAATTAACAGATGTCTTCTGTAGTCACTCTCCTAAGCAATACTCACTACCATCTCTACCCTACACGCTGTATTTTTTTACTCCATACTCTGTATTCTTTAAATTTTTACAGCAAGAATGTCTTCTTCAACGTTTGCCTTCCACTTCAAAAAAAGAAAAAGAGAAATCAGAGCAAAACATGGAGACATAAAGATGATTTTGTCATGCAGGCGTGAGGGCTCACGCCTGTAACTCCAGCACTTTGGGAGGCTGATGCAGGAGGATTACTTGAGCCCAGAAGTTTGAGACCAGCCTAGGCAACATAGTAAGACCTCAAGTCTACAAATATCAAAAAATTAGCTACAGGTGGTGGCACATGCCATTAGTACTAGCTTTTGGGGGAAGAGGGGATGAGGCTGGAGTACTGCCTGAGCCCAGGAAGTCGAGGCTGAAGGGAGCCATGATCATGCCACTGCACATCAACGTGGGCAACAGAGTAAAACTTTGACTCAAATAAAATAAAGATAATTTTGCCAATACAGTCAACCTAATTTTGTCCCGCATTTAGCCTTCATCATGCTTAGTTATTAGTACAAATACAAGTTTGGGAGCTTCCCTTTTATCTCTTCCTATCCTTCCCTCCCAGCATCTTAAGCTAACTACCAGTAGTATTAAATTCATTTGTAACTGTTTCATTCAGGTTTGGCCTGTGAGCTACAGTGTATTCATCCCTGGACTCAAAACATAATTAAATTTTTAAAACTTCATATCATTTTAAAAATTGTTATTTCAGACATAACTAGAAAAAAAATCGCATTTCTGAGGGTAAGTTAGTTCTGCAATGAATTTCTAGCTGATAGCTCTCGGTCTAGGGTTAGGAAATACTGAAAGATACTGTGAAAAACACACCTAAAAAAGTACTGGCATTTACTGCTATGAGAACCTCTCACCTAAACAAAACTATAAAATTATAGATTGAATATGAAAAATTTTAGTCTGAATATGAAAAAGTTCTAAAAAACATGTTTTGAATTTATATAATAAAATACTCTGAAGAATTCAAACACTGTACCACATAACCAAGTTATTGATAAGATCACTTGATGATGAGGTTCTCAAATAATTCACTTGCTTAAAGTTCCAGATAGACTACTATACAGATTAAAAAACTCAGTAAAACTGCCTATGAAGAAGAAATGCTATGTGAAATGCTCTACCAGTATAAACAGCTAGCAAATCAGAAAAAAAAAATCAAATCAAACAGCATTTCAGACATTATTTGTGATCACCTACATAAGAAAACAAGATGCAAGCCCTAAAATTCTCTGGAGAAAGTTTTCAGATTGTAGCACAAGAAGGGAGAACAGAAACAAAGCCCCATAGTGTTGCTGAATTGCAAAGTCAGAGACAGACGGAGTTCAGGAGGTCAAGAAGGTTAGATTTGTGAGGAAAAGTACTTTAGAAAAGAGAGGTACACAGAAAGAGACCTTCAAAGATCTGTAGACTTTGTATAAGTTTGACAGAAAACTTTCTAAGGCTAGGAAAATAACTAGTAGCATGTTGAACAACTTTTAACAAGAGTTCATATCCCTGAGCCGGAGTGGAGAAACCTAAATACACAGAGAATTGCATAGTGTCCTCAAGACAGCTATACTAGCCACAAATTAAAGACTATTCTGGCCTATTTTAGGAAAAATTAAAAACAAGCCTCAGAAAGATCAAATTGAGTCCAAGTAACTTAAATGTATGACAAAACAAACGCTAACACTATAAAGAAATGAAACAAAATCTTATTATATTTTTTACAGCTGTGTAAAAAATATAACAAGATGTTACAACATAGATGAACCTTAAACACATCATAGTAAGTAAAAGAAGTCAAACACAAAAGGTCACATCCTGTAGGATCCCATTTACATGAAATATTTACATGAAAGAAATAATGGCCAAAAATCTTCCAAATTTGACTAAAACTTTAAACTTTTACAGCAAGAATGTCTTCCTCAAGGTTTGCCTTCCACTTCAAAAAAAGAAAAAGAGAAATCAGAGCAAAATATGGCGATATAAAGATGATTTTGTCATCCAGGCGTGGGGGCTCACGCCTGTAACTCCAGCACTTTGGGAGGCTGATGCAGGAGGATTACTTGAGCCCAGAAGTTTGAGACCAGTCTAGGCAACATAGTAAGACCTCAAGTCTACAAATATCAAAAAATTAGCCATGTGTGGTGGCACACGCCATTAGCACTAGCTATTGAGGGAAGAGGGGATGAGGCTGGAGTATTGCCTGAGTCCAGGAAGTCGAGGCTGAAGTGAGCCATGATCATACCACTGCACATCAACATGGGCAATAGAGTAAAACCTTGACTCAAACAAAATAAAGATAATTTATCTTTTTCTAAAGTACTTTTCCTCACTGATCACACCAAAGACTATAATAAT